GCTGCCATTCCAACAACTTGGGGTTTAAATCGGTTGTTGGGTAATTAAAGGTTTTGATGGCCGTTTAGGTGGAACTCAATTTTTATGAAAAAAAAAAGAAGAAGGAAAAAGTGGTATTAAAGTTGAATAAGGGTTAGGTTATTAATTAAGTATAATTTTATTGGTAAGTATAATATTTAAGTATTGAATCAACATTTAAAGAAATTAATTTCTTTAAATATATCAAGTCATAACTGATGTGGAGGTATACCTTTGAGATCATTTAAAAAGAAATTAATTTTAAAATATGTGAAAATTGATTTAGGATGCGTTTGAGGTTGTGGTTAAGAATTTTTTTCATATAGTTCTGTACTACTTTTACATATTTGTGCGTTTGGTAATTTTTTTGCGAACTGTTTTTTTTTTTAACTACAAAAAACTAAAGTATATTTACAATAATTTTATATATAAAGTTAAAAGTCTCATTTTAAAACATTCTGAATGTGACTTCTACAGAGAATACTTAATATTTAATATAATTATAAAATTACTCATTAAAAGTTAAAACCTAATTTCTTATAATTTAATTATATCATAATTTATAATATTTTAATAATGATAATAAATTTGAAAAACCTAAATTATTAAAAAATAATAAATATTATCTACTTTAATAATTATTCATCTTACAATTTTTTTAAAATTTAATAAATAATTAATAAAATCTATCATATTTCATCTATAATACTTTTAAAAAATAAATAATCAAATATCAAAATAACTTTTAATCACAAATATAGTACATTATAGTTCAGTATAACCACAATTACAGTTACAACACTTCACCATAATCTCAAATGCACCTTTAGAGACATTCTAACTGTAAATTAAAAAAAAAAATTATTAAAGGAGTTGAATGGTTTTTTTTTTTTTTAAGAGTACTTGGGCAGGTTCCAGACTGGAATCAGATGGGGTTGGCGTGGTAGGATTAATTGGTATTAAGGTGTGACAGGTATTTTTATTTGGATTCATATGCCTTAATTAGTAAAGATGGTCCATTCCAAGATTCAGGCAACGTGGGAAAGACTGGTCTGCAAAAATGGATTTAAATCTGGCTGTGGGGTCTGAATAGTTGGGCATCACACGAGCATATACCACATAAGATACCGTCACATTGATGTGATCTATCTCTATCTATACACAGAAGGCCCGAGCCAAACCCAGTTCAACAGTACTATGATTTAAGAGGCCCACAGAGCAACGGCTTATGCTTATGTGATGCTCAAAGCCGGCTTAACGAATTGGGCCATATGCTGCTCTAAAATTTGTGTTTTTGTGCAGGGCTTCGCACGCTTAGGTGCCGAAGGCCTGGCTCAGCGTTCTCATATAAAGAGATTGAGATGGGGAGAAAATGCTGGAGATAGAGGAACAATTTGAGTCCAAAGGCGACAATTTTGATGTTGGCTCTTGGGTGTCATTTTCTCAGAAAAGTTAGAAACTAGACGCACCGTAAACTTGATAATATTAGTATTAGTATAGATAACAACGGATTGGTTTAATTATCAACCTCTATCAAATTTAGGTTTTGAAAGGATGTCAACTAGCACCTGAGCTAGTACTCTCTGTTTTTCTTTTCTTTTTTTTTTAGTTTGAATTGTTTTCATTGAAATAACATTGTCGAGATTTGAATATACATCTTTGTCATGATTCATGTCAATTTTTGCTTCTTCTTTTTTTTTTTAATACATAAAAGGCTTGATAAGCAGCTCAGATCTAGAGAACGAAGTCCCTATATAATACCTCCTTGCAAGACTGTCTATATCAGTTAGTGGGTCCGCAGAAGGACCGCAGAAGGACCGCAGAAGGAGTTGTGTCCAGTGGCAAATTCTGGCCAAGGAGAAGCCATGTAGTCTGCTGCACAGTTGTCCCCGAAGAGTGTAATTGTTCAACAAGTGGAAGATGTCCACAATTCTTAATTTTCCATTCACATTTCCGTGAAATCAAATAGAGGTTATTATTTTGATCAACTCTATCATGTTTTTTTCATTTTTTTGGTACATTGAAATAAGAATTGAATATTAAATTTGTGATTAAGAGTACAAGCAGTTTTGTCATTAAACCACATAATTAATAGTACCAATTCTAACATGTTAAATTTAAAAAAAAAAAAAAAAAGAAAGAAAAAAGGTGGAAGGAAACTTCCTCCATTTTAAGGAAAAGGGGAAAAAACAAACACAGTTAAAACTAGAAATGAAAACAGTGCTAGTCATTAAACCGACTTAGACCGTGAGTGAAGGCAGACTCAAATGCATCCATTTTAGCCTTAGACATAGCCAATCCAACCTCAATGCCTCCTGTCAAGTCTCTGCTCTCCATAAAGGAAATGGCATTCCCATCATCAATAGAAATTTCCTCTATTTTCCTGGGCCTCCCCCACCCAAAATCTGTCTGATAAAAGTCAAGCTTTGGTGACCCAACAACCATAATGTGGGGCTCCGATCCAAGAAACACCTCCCAATCTGATATCCACTTTTCAGATTCTCCAAGCATTTCTTGATTCAGCTCCCTAACCTTGTTTCCAATCACATGTGCTGCAATTATAATTCCATCTTCTCCCAACAGCTCCTCTCTAGTTGCCAAGCAGCGGGCGAACCCAATACAGTTTCCAAAGTAGGTAGACGGATAGTCCAGACGTGCAATGCCACCCGAATTGAACCCGAGGTAATTCGGATCCCCAGTATAACATTTCTCCTCCTTCACTTCCTCTCGAGCTTTTATCAAACACACCCAAACAAAGGCACAAGTTAGATTAGAAGGTGACAAATGTGCAGGCTGCGGCATGTTCCTCTGCTTGCATTGAAAAATAATCCATTGCTTAATCTTCTCCATGTCATTCGTACTCATAACGAATGTGGCTCGAACCATATCAGACATATCTGCGTTAGCTTCATTGTTGCAACCTATTACCAGACCTTCCAAAGAAGATTTCCTGTTGAACCACTGGTTGAAGTAGATGGATTCGAGTCCATAGGTGTCTTCAATGACTGTCCTGTTGTAAAAAGGCAGCAAATTTGTTGAGGAAGAATTGTCCCGGTACAATGCCGCCCATGTCTTGATGAAATTGTTGAATGTCCTTCCATCCGCAACCACATGGTGAAATGCAAGTCCAATGCATAAACCAGAATTTGGGAATATAGTCACTTGTGCAGCAAGCAAAGGAATCCCCATCCCCTGTTTTTCCTTGCCTGGCAAATTGGGTACCAAGGCATGAAAGTCATAAGCATTGCGCTGATAGTTACCGGAAAGGTTAAAAAAATCAGAATCAGATTCTGCGACAGTGAGTGAAACGGAGTTGCCTTCATTGTAAAGGATTACTGGTTTGCCTGAATCGGGCAGAAGCACAAGATGTCCTGCAAAAGGGAAGAAATGTTGAAGAGCAATGGATAAAGAATGTTTAAGCTTGGGAAGAGAAGTGGATAAAAAGTGAGAAGTGGGATGAGGATATTCATAAAAGAAGAGAGGGAGGCTGGGAGAAAAGAAAAGCCATGGGATGTCGAAAAAAGTTAGAGGAAGCGTCGTCGTCGGAGCTGAGCTAGGGGGTAGGGATACAGAAAACCGAGCAACAACCTTCATTGCTCCTTAAGAAATGTGGAAAAAGGGCTGCTAGTTGAGCACCAAATTCAAGCGCATATATTACCCTCAAAAAAGCAAAAAATTCTGAACTTGGAGAGCTCACAATTGGAGCTTTGGAGAGCTCACAATTTTGGGGAAATAATTTTTCATATGAAGAAAATTGAGATTCACTGAGAGTGGAGTGGGCAATATGCTTATCCTAGTCATGCTCCATTTGCTTTTATTTATTTTAGGTTTAAACCCCAATTTGGTCCCTGAACTATTATATGAACCTTCGATTTGGTCCTTGAACTAATAAAATCCCTAATTTGATCTTTGAACTATTGTACGGACCCCAATTTAGTCCCTACTGTTTACTAATTTAGTCTTAAGTTGGTCATTTCATACAAAAAATAGTTGATGTGTCCGTTATTTAACTATAAAAAGCAGTAATTTAATGATCATGTATCATGTTAATAACGAAACATGTCAGTTGTTTTTTGTGTGGAAAGATCAATTTTGGGTAAATTGGTAAACAGTAAGAACTAAATTAAGATCTATACAATAGTTTAAGGACCAAATTAGGTCCATATAATAATTTAAAGACCAAATTAAAGATTTAACATTTATTTTACTGAAGGAAATTTGCGGTTCACTAAAAGTGGACTGTGGACCTAGGCTGTGGCTTTATTGTCTCCCAGGAAACTTCCTAGAGATTCTCTTTTAGTAGTTTTTCTGATTGGGGGATTTGGAATGGAAAGAGAGTGGAAATGAGGAGAGGGTCACTGGCTTCTTTTGTTTGTCTCCGTAAAGACACATAAGGATTTGTTAGGAGATGTTCTAGTGATTAAAAATTTAAATTTTTATATTAAAGATGTCAAATATGAAATTTAAAATAGATGAAAAGGATTTGACAAAGGAAAAATTATTTATTATTATAATATTTATCATTTGGTATTTAAAAAAAATTAAATACAGTAATTAATGATATAAAAGGAGGAGATGGAGTGGCTATAGAGCCTTTTAAAAACCCCCTCAACTTCATTTTCCGATCTTAATGCTAATTGGGGGATTAGGAGGGACAGAGGGAATTTTGAGATTTATTTTTCAATGCAAGTTAAGGCTATGTTTAATTTTGTATGATTGTGGTTTTTGGTTTTTAACTTTTACAAATGTTGACTATCTAAATAAAAACACTCATTTAATATCATATATTTTTATAATATATTATTATAATTATTAAAAAATAAAAATAAAAATATTAAATATTATTAAATAAGTTCATATTTTTAATTATTAATATTAAAACTTATTTTCAACGTATCATTATTTTTTATTTTTAATTTTAGTTACCAATAGTTAAAAAATTTATGAAAACCAAACACCATAGTCATACTAGATAGGGCCTAAAATTTTTAAATTATTTGATTAATGAGTAAAATTATCAAATTAACTATAAATCAAGTTTTTACTTAATTACTTAATTAAACAAAAACACATAGTCCCATCTGACCCTTCAGGCAAGTGGTCTCCGACCACATGAAGATGCATTTCCCCATCCTCTGGCAGGGTTAAAGCCCGCCACATGTTATATTGTTCAAAAAAAAAAAAAACAAAACAAAAACACAGAGTCCATTGCTGCAACTTCGTTTGTTACAGCAGCCTGCTCAAAACATTTCTGAAAGTTTCTGGCCCATTTCTTTACACTGTTCTATGTAGGAGGTCCGCCCTAAAACCCAGTTCAACAATATTATATAATTTAAGAGGCCCACAGACCGGTTCAATGATTGGGGCATATGGCTTACTTAATTTAAGACTG